CGCACCCGGGCCTCCGCTCTCCCGCCCCAGCCAGCCGTGGCTCCCTCGGACCTTCCCCCTCCTCGGAAGGCCTGCCCTGCCGGCTCCTGGACGCCTTCCGCCCCGAAGCGCGCGGGCCCTGCTCCCTGCGCCGCTCCGTGTGCCCGATGTCTTCTGTGCTTACGTTTCACTTCCGCAGTTCCCGTGCAAGCCGGGCTGGTGGCGCACACCTGTAATCCCAGCGCTCCGGCAGGCTGAGGCAGGAGGATCAGAAAGTTCTCCCCAGTAACCAGCAGTCCTGGGCCTGAATTAGGCGCTCAGCAGCTGACGTCCAAATGCTTTATTCCACAAATGTCTCAGCTGATTTATCTAAGTCTTGGTACCTGATGTAGTGCCCACAGTATCATGCTGAAGCACACACACGGTGCCCCTGCAGGGAGCCTCTGGCGTCCTGCAGGAGGCTAAAGGTCCGCGTAGAAGTGACAGTTCGTGATGAAGGGAGGAGGAAGGCGAGGAGGGGAAGGAAGCGGGAAGGGTCGGGGAGGTGCCGCGTGTCCGCATCTTCCATTTCTCAGGTATTACGGCTGTGGCCTGGTCATCCCTGAGCGTCTGGAAGACTGCTGGGTTTTGGATCTGGGTAGCGGCAGTGGCAGAGATTGCTATGCACTCAGCCAGCTGGTTGGTGAGAAAGGACATGTCACAGGAATAGACATGACTGAAGGCCAGGTAAGGCCGAGACTTGGGGAGAGAGTCTCTAGTATATTCCTCAAAAGATAATTCCCTTTGGACTCTTCAAGGGTAATTGAAGAAGCCCGTGATTTAGCAATGATCATTTAAATCTCTAGTGCTTTTTGTCCTGGAAGTGAAGAATGTTGAGAGTTAGAGTTTCTTTTCTTTTCTTTTCTTTCTTTTTTTTTTTTTTTGAGACAGTTTCCCTATGTAGTTCAGGCCAGCCTTGAACTCACTGTGTAGCCCAAGCTGACCTCAAACTTGCAGCAGTTCTCTTGCCTCAGCCTCCTCAGTGCTGGGATTACAGGTGTGTGCACCATTCCTGGCTTAGAGGTTCTTTATTTTTATTTTTGTCTTTTTGAGACAGGGTCTCACTGTGCAGTTCAAGCTGGCCTGCAGCTCACTTGTAGCCCAGGCTGGCCTTGAACTTGCAGTGATGCTCCTGCCTCAGCCTCCTGAGTGCCGGGTTACAGGCATGTGCCACCACATCCAGGTCCAGTTTAGAGGTTCTTTTGGGAGAACACAAGGTCAGCATTTTTAGCTGATGTATGAATTGTATGATGACACACAAAATTTCCTCTTTTCCCCCAATGTCATCTGTCCTGAAAGATTCTGTCATTGAGGGGGAGGGGCTTTTTCAGGCAAAATCCAGGGAGTTTATGTACAAGGCTGTAGCATATCCTCATCTCCATAGGAATCTTGTATGTTTATTCAAAATAGTCTGGGGGAAGTATATTCTATAAGTAATAGGAAAATTTAGGGAAAAGGTAGTAAAATTTGAAAATCTGTTGATCATCAAATCTATACTTTTTCCCCTTAGGTGGAAGTGGCTAAAAAGTATGTTGACTACCACATGAAAAAATATGGCTTCCAGACCCCCAATGTGAACTTTATTCACGGCTACATTGAGAAGTTGGCAGACGCAGGAATCCAGGACGAGAGTTACGACATTATTGTGTAGGACTGTGTCCTTGTAATCACGAGCAAAGCCCATTTCTGTTAGGGACACACACATCTCGCCATCTGTGGTGACTTGACTCTCCTGGAAGATGTTAAAGTGAACTCAGCACGTCTTCATGCAGGGAGAGACTTGATCTGAGCCGCTTGTAGTCCACTGGGCACAGAGCACCCCAACCCAGGAGAGCATTTACCACAGCCCAAGGAGCGCCAGAGACCAGCCAGATCCTTATCTCTAGTATAGTCATGGGTGACTTAGCAGCAATGGCATGTTCTGAGAAAACGTCACTCTGCGATTTCTCCTTCTGTGAACATCATATAGCTTATCACTCCTTGGGCCGTGATCAATAAAGCAGCAAGAATAAATGCCTGAGAGGAAAGGGTGCAATCAGGAGATGCAGTAAAAGAGATGTGTGAAGCCAGGCGTGGTGGCGCACGCCTGTAATCCCAGCACTCGGGAGGCTGAGGCAGGAGGATCATTGCGAGTTTGAGAATAGCCTGGGCTACAAAGGGAGCTCAAGGCCGGCCTGAACTGCATAGTGAGACCCTGTCTCAGAAAGACAAAAAAGAAAAAAAAAAGATATATGAGGCTGTACTGGCATGACATGACAGACGGGTTTACTTTTGTTTGAGTTTTTTAAGACAAGGTCTCCCTGTGGAGCCCAGGCTGATCTGGAAATCACAGCCATCCTCTTGCCTCAGCCTCCTGAGTGCTGGGATTACAGGCAGGCTCCATCACACCTGGCTCAACATACTGTTTTAACAGTAATTTTTTATAAGTAGGAGTGTACCCTGAAATAACAATGGCTAGGTGATAGAGGGGCCCTGTGTTTGGACCCAAGTACCACAATAATAATGATGATAAATAAATAATAATAAAGTATGCACGTATGAATGTGCATTAAAAAGTACAACCTGAGCTAGGCATGGTGGTGCATCCCTATAATTAGGAGGCTGAGGCAGGAGGACCGCATCAAGTTTGAGGCCAGCATGGGCTACACAGTGAGTTCAAGGACAGGCTAAACTACATTGTGAGACCCTATGTCAAAAAAAAAGTTTACTGAGACTTTGAACACTCTGCTCACTTCTTTTATCTTGAGAAACCCTGAATGTAGGGGAGAGGGGAGGGAGGCCGGAGGACTGGGGCGGATTTGACAGAACGGTGGGGGCCGCCTTCAGGAACTGGAAGGCTATGAGCCGTCTAACGTCTGTCTTTGTCTCTTAGCTCTAACTGTGTCATTAACCTTGTGCCTGACAAACAGCAAGTGCTGCGGGAGGCGTACCGCGTGCTGAAGGTGAGCGGGGGTGAGATCAGGGAACCGGACGTTCCTGGGCTCTGCTGAGATGAGTGCTGTTCTGCCAGCCCTGACCTGAAGGCTTTTACTCCGCCTGCCAAGTTGGAAAGGGGAGGGAAAGTGTAAAATGAGAGAGAACGGGCGGGGGGGAAGCTATTGTAATCCGGCATGTGCCAGCTGTGGTGGTGCACGCCTGTAATCCCAGCACTGGAGAGGCTGAGGCAGGAGGGTCACCACAAATTTGAGAGAGGCCTGGGCTACATAGTGAGTTCAAGGCCAGCCTGAACTACATAGCGAGACCCTGTCTCAAAAAAATAAGAGAGAGAAAGAAAGAATTGAGCTGTGTACATGTATGAATTGCCTACAGTAAATGTAATCACGACATACTGCAAACATGTACTAAGAGGTCAGGGCACAGCGCCTGCCTGGCAAGCACAAGGTCCCGAGTTCAATTCCTGGTACCAACCCCCCACGTACTAATAAAAATTTAAAAGAGTCTATAAAGACTGTTAATGTCTTCTGTTAGTTTTACAGCCACCTGGGACTGCATTTAGTTCTGACTGCTAAAATTTGAGGCAAGCTAAATGTCTGTAGCAGAGAGATCTAGAAGGTGATTTATGACACGTTGAGCGCTGAGGGAAAGACATCTGGCCCTTATCTACTGACCGATGAGGAAAGCGTTTATTTGTTCACAGAGGGTCGGCTCGGTCAATGTCAGCTCAGATATTCCTCGTGGGGTTTTGAAATCAATCTGCCGCCCTCATCCATTTCTCTGTAATCTCTAACCTTGCCTGTGTCTAACCTTGCCTGCCTGGCTTCAGCCCGGTGGCGAGCTGTACTTCAGTGACGTCCTTGCCAGCCTTGAGTTGCCAGAAGAAATCAGGATGCACAAAGTTTTATGGGGTAGGTGTTCTTTTTTTTTTTCTTTAAGGCAAATAATTCTTTATGTGCAGAGCTGCCTTCTGCCGCCAGCTGGGACGAGGTGGTTTGCTGTGAGACCCTGGGGCATGAAGGCCAGGCGGCTGGGGTGCCCCCAGCCTTTGGCACTCGAAAGGGACATGATCCTGGACAATTTAACGATGAATCGCTTTAACCCTTATTTTTGAAACTGTAAACTGGGGGCTGGGGATGTAGCTTAGTGGCAAAGCGCCTGCCTGGAAAGTGCAAGGTCCTGAGTTCGATTCCTGGTACTGGAAGAAAAACAAAAACAAACAAACAAACAAGAAAAAGAAACTGTAAACTAAATATAACAGCACAATCTACCTTATAGGGCCCTTAAGAAGATTAGGTGGCGGGCTGGGGATTTAGCTCAGCGGCAAAGCACCTGCCTGGCAAGCGCAAGGTCATGAGTTCGGTTCCCGGTACCGGAGAAAAACCAAAAAAAAAAGAAGATTAGGTGGGGTGAGGAATGAAAATCCTGGGGAAGCATGGTGGGGGACGCAGGCCAGGGCTGCAGAGTCGGTGGCCTCTTGTCCCCTCTTGCTCCCTCTCTTTTGTACTTTTTATTTCTTCGCTGTCACTTTTCGCCGTCAGGTCCAGTGGAGCCTCTGGACGCTGAGGAGTGAAATGCGTGCTGATGGTCCGTCTATGAAATTAAAAGTTCTTTCTTTTAAAGTAAATTATGTTGGGCCAGGGATATAGCTCAGTGGCACAGTGCCTGCATTGCAAGTGTGAGGTCATGAGTTCGATTCCTGGTACCACACAAAAAAAAAATTCTGTAAAAGAAATTACGTTGGCCGCTGCACCTCTCATGGTATACTCTAGCCTGCACGTTTATGTTTGTTTTTATTTTTTTCTTCCCTTTTCATTTGGCCCAAACTTGTTCTGCAAAGCACATTTCCCCCCACCCTTCTTTTAATTTTTCCTACCTCTAATAAATGTGAAACTTTGCCAAAAAGTGAAATAAAATATGTTAACTTTTCATACAGTGATAAGCAAGCTAGGCATGGTGGTGCCTGTCTGCAATCCAAGTACTTGGGAGGCTGAGGCAGGAGGATCACTGAGTTCAAGGCCAACTTGGAGTACACAGTGAGACCCTGTCTCCAAAGAATAAAACTAGTTATAATAATAACATTAATAGGGCCAGGGATATAGCTCAGTGGCACAGTGCCGGCCTGGTAAGCATGAAGTTCTGAGTTAAATTACCAGTAACAAAATTTATATGTATAAACAGACATTGCTAAAAAGCAAGAAAATATTTTTTAAAATATGTGTAATCCTATATTCCATGATAATATCTTTAACATAGAATTTAATATTCTAATTTTGTTTATTTGGCATAGTTTCTAAGCCTAAAGAATTTTTAGGGGCTGGGGATTTAGCTCAGCGGCAAAAGCGCCTGCTTGGCAAGTGCAAGGTCGTGAGTTCGGTTCCCGGGACCGGAGAAAAACCAAAAAAAAAAAAAAAAAAAGAATTTTTAAATACCTTAAAAATGTTTGTATTATACAGCTATGTTGTTTATCTGTTACTTTAACCATGTCTCTGCTGATGATCATTTCAGTTTGTTTTCAGTTTATTGATGTGGTAAGTAAAACTTCTCTTTAGTATATGTTTGTTTGTTATTTGAGGCAGGGTCTTGCTATGTAATGCAGGCTAACCTTGAACTTGTAGCATAGGTCAGGCTGGCTTCGAACTCACAGCAATCCTCCTGCCTCAGCCTCCCAAGTGCTGGGATTGCAGGTGTGTGCCACCACACCCAGCTGTTTAGTACATCTTTGTACTTCAAGACAATTTATAAAATGCCTTGTGAACATTAGTAGTAATTACTCTTCTAGTAGTAGATCATTTTAGGATCAGTGTGGAGGGAGCTAAGAAGCAGTGTGTAATTTCCTGTTTATACTGTTTTATCCCCACATTGCAGCTTTAGCAGAATGTGCCTGTGACCTGACACACACATGAATATTCGGACTGCAGCTGAGCGAGCTGATGCCTCAGTGGCTGAGCTGCGGAACTGTTCCCAGAAGCCATTTGCTCACAATCCCTGCTTTAACTGTGACTTTCTAGACATTAGTGGAGGCGTTCGGTTAGCTCATTTGCAGGCCCCGTGTTTTAACTGACACTATGAGCTGATTAATTCCATGGAGGATTAGTTTCCTTCATACTGCCTCATGTATGACCAGTCCGTGGTTCTTTTCTAAGGTGAGTGCCTGGGGGGCGCATTGTACTGGAAGAATCTTGCCATCCTTGTGCGGGAAATTGGCTTCTGCACTCCACGTTTGGTTACTGCCAGTCTCATCACGATCCAAAACGAGGAGCTGGAAAGAGTTACTGGTAAGAAGTGACCGGAGGGACAGTGGTCACTGCCACTAGAATCATTTACATGGGGTGACTGGTGCTACTGGCTGGCCTCACGAGGGAGAGCTCATGTCACTGGCAACGTCCCTCTCGTCTCCTGAATGATGGCAGCCCCCCGCCCCCGTCTGATATTTAGTAAATCTTATTGAAGTTACTCAGTAAATAAACACCCAAGCAGATCATTGATGACATGCAAGGAAAGAAATTACCTTTAGGCGGTGTTTGGTTCCTTACTGCTGAGCAGACCCACGCTGCTGGTGCGCTGGGGACGAACCATCGCGTTTGCTTTTAGGTGACTGTCGCTTTGTCTCCGCCACGTTTCGCCTCTTCAAACTCCCTCAGGCAGAACCAGCTGAAAAATGCCAAGTGGTTTACAATGGAGGAATCACCGGACACGAGAAAGAGCTAATATTTGATGCGAACTTCACATTTAAGGTAAATAGAAATGTTCATGGGGTTACGGGTGTAATTCGGTGATAGAGCAGTTGCCGAGCACATATGGGGCTCTGGGTTATATCCCCAGTACCACCAAAAAGAAAAGAGAAAGTGCTCATGGCTTCTGGCAGTCTTTCTGCTCTTGCCCAGTCTCTAAGTACCTTTTTAAAAAAATTTTTTTAAAGGAGGAAAGATTTATTTAGCTCACAGTCTGTAGAGGTTTCCCTCCATAATTGGCTGGCTCCAAGGCAGAGTGGCACATGACAGAGGGGCAACAGTTCATGGCAGTGGAAGACAGCAAAAGCAATGAGAGAGAGAGACAGACAGACAGACAGACAGACAGACAGGCAGACCTCTTTCTGCTCCTTTTACCTTATCCAGATTGCTGGGATTTGGGTGGTGACAAGCCAATCAGTGGACTGACCCAGCAATCACCCACCCTTAATCCCAGCACCCTTACTCCCAGCATTGCACACTCCAGATTCAGTCACTCCAAAAAGCCTGAGACCCATGACTGCATGAGGCTTTGGGGGGACATCCAGACATAAACCGTAACATTCAACCCCTGACCCCCTAACGACTCATGCACATCCCTTTATGCAAAAGGCATTTAGTCCATTTCTAAGAGTTGCCAGAGTCCTAATAGTTTCAGCATTGCTGAAAAGTCCGAGTCCCAAGTCTCCTCCAATATCTAAAACAAACTCTTAGCTGTGAGGCTTTGTACAAATGAAAAGAAAGTTACAGCGATCCCTCACCTATCGCGGGAGTTATATTACAGAGACCCCCGCTATAGGTGAAAACCTGTGAAGTAGCGGCATTATATTTATTTTATTGTTTATATATATTTTAAGGCTTTATAAACTCTTCCCACACTCCTATAAACCTTTCCCACTCTCTTATTAACCTTTCCCGTACTCTCATAAACACTTCATATGCTCTTAAACACTTTCTACACTCTTAAACCTATGTATTTTAACAACATGTGAAATTCTTTATGGGTACAATATACCACAAAATCCTGCAGTATAATAAAAACTCCCAGATACAGAATTAGATATATTTTTTTAAAAACCCACAATATAGTGAGGCTGTAATAAGTGAACCGTGATATAGTGAGGGATGACTGTAAACATGTCAAGCATTCAGTGGTACAAGATAGACATTTCCATTCCAAAGTTACAAACGGAGGTACAAAGGAATGGGACCAAAACAAGTCTAAAATCCATCAGGGCAAACAGTAATTCTGTAGTTCCATGTGCAGCATCTGAGGCAATCTGTGGCAAAATGTGAACTCCAAAGGGCTTGGGTGGCTCCACCCTTACTGTACTTCTAGTGGTTGTAGCTCCCATAGCTTCTCTCTTGGGCCCACTGTGCTCCCTCCTTGCAGGTTTCCTCAGATGATCCACACTCCTGGCTTCTTCAAACTTCTGGGGTCTCCACCTCACCTTTGACTTCACATTCACAGCTTCACACACTGCCCTCTCAGAGACACACTGCCTGGCCTCCCAGGTGCACAGATTCTGAAAGTTGTATGGAAGCCTTCCTGACCCCACAACTCATGCATTCTGCATGCACCTAAAACCAGTGCCATGTGGATGATGCCAAGGTCTGCTGCCAGCTGGCACAGTAGCCAGGCTTCCCTCTCTTGGCTGTAGGGGTTGAGAACCTAGACTGCTGAGCACTCTGAACCCAGTTCTGAGGAACAAATTCTCTAGGCTGCCAGCATTCTGGCATATGGTGCTCTGGGTTCTCTTCTGAAAGCAAAGTCTTTCACCTTTGCAGTTTTGAGGCTGCAAAGGGTGGAGCCCTGCTGCTTCTTGTGGTGCCCTCAGGCCATCTTTTCTACTCTTCTGTTCCTTCTCACCAGTCAGGATCTCCTCTGCTCTATCTTTGCAGTCCACAGCTTTACCAGAGCTTCCTTTCTGGCCAAATTCACAATGCTTTAAATCATTCTGCTGGGCTCTTTGCTTTTGATTCTCAACCTCAAAAGATGTTGGCCAAAAGCCCCCCAACAGTAGCCATGCTACAGGCTCAAACTTGAAATTTATTTTCCAGATTAATCAGTCAGCTGCCCTGAATCTTAGTCTCAGGCATAATCTGTGGACAAAGGAAAATGCAAGTAAACTTTCTGCCAAGCCATAACACACATCATCTGGAGTCCAGTAGCCAATGCAGTCATTTTTCCCAACCAAAAGCACCTGAGCCGGTTCTTTACCAGCAGGATTTCTCTCAGCCTTCTGGTCTTCTGAGCACTGACCAGAATCTCCCACAGAGAACAGCCAAAGGTGTTCCAGCTCGTCTTTTCCAGCTGGCATCTCTGAACCTTTCCAAACTCTTCCCACAAGTCAGATCCAAAGGTTCCTGAACTACATGGTCAGGAACAGTCACAGCAGTGACCCCACTTCTCTGGTAACAGATCCTGTCTTTATGTTTCTCATTGCTGAGATGAAATATCTGACACCCAGGGTTAAAGAAGGAAGGTTTATTTAGCTCACAGTTTGTAGAGGTTTCAGTCCATAAGTGGCTAGCTCAAACACAGGGTGGGACATGACAGAGGGCAACAGTTCATGACAGTGGAAGACAGCAAAAGCAGTGGAAGAGACAGATAGCAAGACAGAGGGAGAGACAGAGAACTAAGTAGTTTTTCTTGCCCTCACATTGTTTCACATTTTTCTGGCATTAGTTTGTATTTTTTGTTTTGTTTCTTGAGACAGGGTCTCATGTAGTTCAGGCTGGCCTTAAACTCACTATGCAGCCCAGGCTGGTCTTGAACTCATGATGATTCTCCTGCCTCAGCCTCTGAGTGCTGGGATTATAGGTGGACAAGTGTGACTATAAAACAATCCACAGGACAAGTGTGGGCACCGAGAGCCCACTCTCAGTGGAGCCATGGGTGTTGACAGGGAGCCCCAGTAGGCAGGGCTCACCCAAACCAAATGGCCCCACTGACACAGCGGGGGCAGCAGGAGGCACACGAGCTGTCTCAACCCTACTCACGAGTTCCCACTATGTGACAAGAGGATGGCAGCATGCTCGTGTGAGATGGGGACTCCAAACCCAGACTTCGGAGCAGGCCTGGGTCTGAAGCCACCACTGCCAGGCCTGGGCTGTGGCACAAAATGGCAGGACAAGTTGGTAAAAGGCAAGTCTCCTCAGATTTTAAAAGATCACACATTTAAATCAGCGAAATCATACTTCACGAGGTTCAGATGTTACCAAAACTGTCTAGAGACCACTGAACAAAACCTTCTCCTTCGGCTTAAAACGGAAACACCAACCCACCAAAGTAATTCCTGCCCCATTTCATCAGTAATGGAGATAAAAGAACCTTGCCCTATAAGTTAGGTTTGCAATTCGGAAACGCCAGGGCTGAGTATAACTGCCGCGCGTTTTCCTCCCAGTGAGACCGCAGTGGCCCCTTTAATATGCGTCCTTTGTGTCCTAGCAAGGTGACCTTGTCGAAGTGGACGAAGAAACGGCAGCTGTCTTGAAGAATTCGAGGTTTGCTCGAGATTTTCTCTTCAGGCCAGGTGGAGAGAGTTTGCCAACATCCGGCGGCTGCTCGGGGTCTGACTCTCAGGTTTGTTTGCTGTTCAGGCCTTTCCTGAGAGAAGCATTCAGGGGAAGCCATGGCCCGCCCCTCAGACCACTACTAAAGTCATGAGTCACGGTGTTTGCATCTATAAAAGGGTTTTAATTTATTTTATAACTTCACTCCCTGAATCCTGACAAGTCAGTAACCTTTGGTGCTAGTATATCTATGAATAGACTTTGGGGCATCTCTGAGATCCTTAAAATTATATGTGTGGATGTGTATTTTCTTGGGAAAGGATTTGTTACTTTTATCAAGCTTTTAAAGAGGTCCAAAAAAAAAAAAAAAAACAAAAAAAAACAAAAAAAAACCACAAACAAACCAAAAATTACAAAGAGGTACCTTTAAAAAAAAATGTGCCGTGGCCGGGTGCAGTGGCGCCTGCTTGTAATCCCAGCACTCTGGAGGCTGAGGCAGGAGGATTGTTGCAAGTTCAAGGCCAGCCTGGGCTACAAAGTGAGCTCAAGGCCAGCCTGAACCGCATAGTGAGACCCTGTCTCAAAAAGACAAAAAAAGTGCCAAGTGCAATGGTGCACATCTATAGTTCTAGCTACCTGGTAGGCTGAGTCAGACGAATCACTTGAGCCCAGGAGTTTAAGACTTGTCAAAAAGAAAAAGAGATAGAAAGGTTAACCCCATGTGAACCTTATACATGGATCTGTATTTTCTTCTAGTATTTTATGAAAACTGATAAAAAAATTCATCTTTTGCCAAGTGTAGTGGCACATACCTATAATCTTAGCACTAGGGAAGCCGAGGCAGAAGGATCTCTATGAATTCAAGGTCAGCCTGGGCTACATGATGAGGTCAAGGCCCACCTGAGCTGCATAGTGAGACCCTGTCTCCAAAAAAAAGAAAAAAAAAAAGAAAAGAAAAGTGTTTTTCACATTTTTCTCCAGGGGTGGAGGCTCACACCTATAACCCAGTACTCAGGACACTGAGGCAAGAAGACTGTGCAAATTTGAGGCCAGCCTGAGCTACAGGAATCTGTAGTGAGTTCAAGCCCTCCTGAACTGCACAGCAAGACTCTTTCAAAACAGCAACAAAAATTCACTTTTTTCCCTTTGGTTTTTAGAGACAGGGATAGGGCCTCATTTTATCTTATCACTCACAGAGATCCTTCTGCCTCAGCCTCCCAAATGCTGAGATTACTCATGCACCATTACACCAGCACCTGTTTAACCACTTAAAAATGCACAAATCAAACCAGGCATAGTGGTGCACACCTGTAATCCCAGCACTTGAGAGGCTGAGGCAGGAGGATCATTGCGAGTTTGAGGCCAGCCTGGGCTACAAAGTGAGCTCAAGGCCAGCCTGAACTGCACAGCAAGACCCTGTCTCAAAAAGATGAAAAAAAAATGGAATTATGGGGTTAACAGTTCTGTGTTTCACTTTTGAACCCACCGAGCTGTTTTCCACAGTGGCTGCACTGTCTTACATTCCTAGCTGCAATTGTGAGGGTTCCAATTTCCCATGCTTGCTATTTTCTGTCTTTTTTTATTGTAGCCATCCAAAAATTCATGGGGTATTATCATTGTAGTTTTTTTTTTTTTTTTGCTTGTTTTGTTTTTTTCCGGTACTGGGAATCGAGCTCATGACCTCGTGCTTGCCAGGCAGGCGCTGTGCCGCTGAGCTAACTCCCCAGCCCCGTCATTGTAGTTTTGGTTTGCATTTTCCCTGGTGATTGGTGATGGTGACTGTTTTTTCATGTGCTTGTTGGCTGTTTGTATATATTCTCTGGAGAAATGCCTAGTCAAGTCCCTTGCTCACTTTTTATTTTGCTTTTCCACTGCCCATTTTTAAATTGGGTTGGATGTCTTTTTGTTGCTGAGTTGTAGTTTTTTTTTTGTTTTTTTTTTTTTTTTTTTTTTCTCCGGTACCAGGAACCGAACTCACGACCTTGCGCTTGCCAGGCAGGCGCTTTGCCGCTGAGCTAAATCCCCAGCCCCAGGTTTTTTTAATATAGTCTAAATGTGGTGGTGCCTGGGTTCACAAACACTTTTGTTTGTGGACAGTTTGGTTTTTGTTTGTGAATTCTGCATCCGGTGACGAACACTACTGAGCCATCTTTCCCGGAACTGTGGGACGAGTTAAGTTCATGAACTGAGGCAGCACTGTACTCGACCCTTGTTGGATATAAGATTCACAGAAATTTCTCCCGTTCTGTGATCTGTCCTTCCACCCTCTTGACCGTGTCCCTTGGTGCACAGGAGGCTCTCATTTAAATGTGATTTTCATTTGGATGAACTCCAGTTCGTCTGTTTTTTCTTTGCCTGTGCTTTTCGTGTCATACCAGAAAATCCAGCGCCAAATCTGAATGAGGAAGACTCTTCCAGTGCACTTACTGCTTTGTTTGCACATTTAACATTTTAAATCCATCTCAAGTGCACTTTGGCTTCAGCACTGAGGTGGGGATGGCGCGTGTGCGGGATGGCACGCGTGTGGGTTGCCTTGAGGAACCAAGAGACAGTGCTTTCCAGGGAATGTTCCTGCGTCCGATCTTACGCTGTCCCCGTCCAGACTCCAGGCCGGTGTGTGGGACCCGTCAGGGAACCCCAGAGGACAGCAGTGGCCCGGTCACACCGACCGGGTCATCAAGTCCACCTGAGTCTTGCACTTGTACTTGGGTACAAGTTCTTGGAGATCAGAAGATTTATACGCTGTCCTCAAGCCTGAGCTTGTGGACAAGGGTTGGTCCCTGCACTCATGGAAGCATCCTCTGTACTTTCCCTCCTTAATCACACTCATCAGTAATGCTACATTCTAGCCGGGTGTGGTGGCGCACGCCTGTAATTCCAGCTCTGGGGAGGCTGAGGCATCACTGTGAGTTCAAGGCCAGCCTGGGCTACACAGTGAGTTTAGAGCTAGCCTGAACTGCACAGCGAGACCCTGTCTCAAAAAAAAAAAAAAAAAAAAAAGCTACTTTCTGTCCAAAAAAATTGAAATAGGAGCGTGACTGTCTTCCAAATATTAACTAGTCCATTTTCCTTTTTTAATTTATTAAATAATCATTTCTCCTGTTTTGAGCATATCCTAATTTCTTAAATATATATTCAGGCCAGTATTTATTATACTGTATATGTATTTTCCCACTATATTCTAAGTGATTATTTCTAAAACAGTTTAGATTCACATTTAGAATTATCCTAGTAACTGAAGTATTGGTATGGTATTTTCTAAAGCATTTTATCACAATGCAGCCCATGTAATCTTCCGTTAACTACCCTATGCAGAAGTCAGAAAGACAGTTATACAGATATTATAATATGCCCTTCTTTGCATTCCCCCCATACACTTTTACCTTTTTCCCTGTCTAGGCTATCATAATTATTCTATTATTCCTTCTTTTTTCGGATTTTAGAGACAGGATCTTTGTAGTTTAGACTGGCCTTGAACTCACAGCCGTCCTCCTGCCTCAGCCTCCTGAGTGCTGGGATTATAGGCGTGTGCCACCATACCCAGCCACCCCTTCCTATTTCTAGTATTTTACTGTTTGGAACAGGCTTAGTGACGGGTTCAGTCCTGCTTCTGGCTAGCAGAGTTTCTCCCAACACCCACCGGGGTCCTAACAGCGGTGCGACTCTTAATACTGAACGTGAAAGCCCCAGGAAGTGGGGCACCGTGCCGCCCTTGCTGCAGCGGGAAGGTAGCCAAGCGTGGGATTGCGTGACAGGCGCTGGACTCCCGCATTTGGATCCTGGCTCTGCCACTTCGGGGTGAACTTGAGTAAATGACCCGACCGCCGTGACCCTCAGGCTCGAGTGGAGGGAGCGCCGACCTCTTCCCCAGGCGTGAGGACGCGGGAGACGCCTAGCGCGCTGCTGCTCACACGCTGCATACCCAGAAACAAGCTTGGAGGTCACGAGCTTTGGCTGCTTGCCTTTCCTGCCCCCTCAGGCCTGTGCGCACCGCGCTCGAGTTCCGACCAGGACTCCCGGATCCTTCACCGAGTTGCCTTCCCGGCCCCCAGAACTTCTGCAAGCGTGAGCTTGTGCTTTTCCGTTGCTTGCATTTGACAGTGATTTGGGATACACTGAGCGTACGTCCTTGTCCAGGTTAACGCCTGTGCTCTTCCCTCCTGGACCGTCCTTAAGAGCAAAGTTTAGTCCCTTTAGACAGGCTTTGCCTGTCCAGAGTCCCGATCTGGAACCCCCTGCTCTTCCTGTGTGAGGACGACACCAGGGTCCTGGGGACTAAAGGAGGTGAGGCGGAGCCAGGACCGCGGGGAGCACAGCTTACTGCGGACTTCCTGGCGGAGGTGTGGTCCTGGACAGCGGCGAGATCAGCTGGATTCCCAAAATGTAGGTCAGAGAGAGGGAGGCATTAAGACCACTGTACCCGGAACGCACTGATTTTCCTTCAGCTAGAACGGAAGGGCGGCCTCCCCGGGCCGGGCTCCAGCCGTCCAGCTCCGCACGCTCTGAAGGCTTTGCCTGTTTAGAGTGCGCTGGGAAACCAGATGGGGAGAAATGGACAGGCTTCCCCGGGTGTCACGGTGGTCACAACCCAGCACGGCTGCCCTCGGACCAAGCCGCCTTCCTTCCGAGGGAAGGGGAACTGCCTCGTGAGTCTGGGGTCGCAGGTCTGGAGGTGATAGTTAACAGCACTCACGGAGCCAGCGCGGGGATGTGATCTGCGTGTGTCTGGAGAACGTTCTCGGCTTCCGTGATTGAAAGTCGTCCTCCGAGCTTTACCTGGATTTTTTCTTTTTAACCAGATAGGGCTTCGGAGGCTCTGTGGGCAGCTCATAAACATCCCAGCTGCTGTCATCCTTCCCTTTTCTTTCTTTCTGTTCTTTTCTGGACAGTACCGGGAACTGAACCTAGGCCCTCCCGGCGAGCTAGGCAGATGCTCGTCCACGGAGCTACCTCGTGGCCTCGAATCTTGTAATTGTCTCTCGTCTCAGTGTGTCGGGCCTCTTGTCCCGCTGGGCCCGACGGCCGGCTGACCGCCTGCTGAGGGCTAACAGGGCCCCAGTTGGGCTCCCC